TTTTCTTTTTTAGCCCTTTCATCCAAATAAATTTCCAATTCTGCTTTTTTTGATTCAATATCAAGTAAATATTTATAGTCAGATTCATAAAATAAAACATCTTCAAATTGACTAACAACTTTATCAATTGGTTTATTATAATCAATTTCATTAACCAATTGATAAGAAACAGAGTTAGTTCTTTGTTCTGTTAATAAAGATTTAAATAGAGCACATCCATCAGGAGTTAAACCCATAGTTTCAGTTTTTATCTTGTCCTTAGACTTTTTTCAATTATTCAATAACTCAGCAGTATTTTGAAGAAGTGTTTTATCCAAAGCACTATTAGGTTTTAAAAGGGCACTATTACTATCAAAGATAACCTTTTCTTCAGGTTTAAGAGGACCATCATGATATTTTGAGTATTCTTTAGCTTCATCTATTGTATTGATATCAATTTTTTTGAATGTCATGATTTTAATTACTATATTATATTTTAGTATTAATATTATTAAAAGATTAAATATAAAGAATTTAATAGAACAAACAAAAACTAATAAAGTAATAAAATTTGCAATTGACTGAAATATTTTTATTCACTATCAGGATAGATTGGTTTGGGACAAGTAATATCCTTGAATTCATCTCTAACAAATAGGCGAATATTATGATAAAGATATTCTTGCCTTTTGTAATCCAAAGGAGGGGGAGTTAGAACTAAAATGGAAAAAGATTTAATTTCGTTGGTAATTTCAGAAACACTTGCTTTTCTGGTTTTCAATAAATTAAATTCAGTGTAAGAACCATTAGCAACCAGCTGGGTTTTGACAATTCCAGGTCGAGCTGCTTTGAATACAAAATGCTGATATTTTTGTAACCCACTCAATTTTTTAAAGAAAATTCCCAACACAGAATTAAGATCTAAATATTGAAAACCTTTTCCATTTTCATAGCACTGAGCCTTGTTTAATCCTGCTGTGCTCGAATTTTTCACAACCTTAACAATATGATCCACACAATCTACTGTTGTCTTTCTATAGAGCTTTTTAATCAGTCTGAAACTACCATCACATTTGAATTTAGTATGTCCTGGTACCATAAAATTTAATTTGATGCTTTCATAATAGCTGCAAATTACTAAATATAGATAAAATCAAATGGTAGCATTATTTTTATTCTGTCCGCCCGCATTATCACAAGTAATCTTTAGATGTTTTTCACCTTTATTCAATCGTTTAATTCCATCAAATACCATGCTCAGCATACCATTAGGACCCTTGCCAATAATTTCGTCTTCATCAAGAACATAATTAATTTGCTCGCATACTGCTTCATCTTGGATACCAAACAAATGCACCTTCCGAGCACTAAGGTAAAACACTTTGCTGATCTGTTGATCTGAATGGGGCACATGGACATTTTGGGCTCAGTCATAACTATAGTGGGCAACTGCATCAGTATTGCAGTAGGGTATCTTGCTTTTGACCAGCGAATAATTTTGGTCGACAAGCTTTCTATGTTCTTCCACCAACTTGGTATTTTTATTATAGTAGTTTCACTCTAACTTGGCCTTGGTTAGATGTTCTTTATATTTCTTCAATAGATCTTGAGCCTCTTCCTCTTTACGAACTTTAAATTGCAAGTCATTCCGCAACTGCTGACAGGTATCGCATAAATCAGTTTGGGGGCTCATGATTTGAATGTAAGGAGTTAGTTGATGCCATAACTTGCGGAACACATCATATTTGAGGGCACGTAATTTACTGTCTTCTTCTAGACTGGCCAAAAAGTCCCGGTGAACAGATTTATAGCTCATTTCTGCTGGTAGAAAGATAATGGATTGGGTTATGCGATTAACATTTCTAACCAGGCTGGGTAAGCCATGAACTTCGGCATAATTTAGCAGAAAATTCTTGACTGCGCTAGCCACATCAATATTGATGACCATTCTGGTTTTTCACCATGGCATTCTTTTTACATTACCGTGGACCCATGGTAGAAGACCATTTTTGAGCAAATGATTTCGGATATTTTCAAAATAATTGCAACCAATGCCAAGCATATTGAGGTAGGTTTTTTGACAAATAGGTGTATTCCGATTTCAGCAGTATATAGTTCTCTTATTGGCCCGAGTTTTGTTCTTGAGATGTCGACTAGTATTGATTGCCCCTCCATCCATGGATCTGAGTTGAGCCATTAAGAAAATATCTTGTTTGGGTTTTGTTAGTGCTTGAAAATCCTCTCGCAATTCAGCAAATTCTTCTTTGGGCACTTTGGTGGAGCAACCGCAACCACATCCTACTTCTAAAAAGTTGAGAGCTTTCTCGTATTCAGTTAGATCTTTGTCATTCATCATATATATATTTTATATATATTTTATGTGCAGTTTGTCTGGTTTTGTTAATTTCTTCCACACAGCATATTAAAGAATACATAGGACTATCCCTATATACCTTTACTCTTTATATTTGCGTTTTTTCCTTGATTCTTCAGATGTTTCTGGTAATTCTTGCTTCCTAGAATTTAATTGTTGGCTTCGTCCAGAAGTATCTTCTAGATAAGTGGTGTTTATATTTCTATTAGAATTACTAGAATTAACGTATAATTGTCAGTAAATTTCGTAGGTAATTTTCTCTTTATCCAAATATCCTTGAATAGCTTTGGTGTCAGATAATTTAAAAACGTAAGGAGCAATTTTCTCTCCTTGCTCTTGTTTCAAAATACTTCTGATGGTACTATAGTTTTTTGGTTCCATAGTGGATTTGATGTAAATTAGTTTCATATGTGTATGTTTTATATAGGGGTAGTCCTATACCATTTCAGCTTGTTGTCATCATTGCTATGCTGATGCCGCCGACGGCAAGGAACTTTAATTTACTACTCTGGCTAGAGGACAAATCGAAATTCAAGAAAATGACAGCATCTCCAGAAACGACAATCCCTCCATTCCATCACTTGGCTTTCAATGGTGCTTGCCGGGCTTGCGCAGACTTAGCTCGGGTAACTTTTCGACAACACGATGAACGCGTCGCATGGGATTTGATCGACTTTGTTCTAACAATGATTCAATGCATCGGTGTAAGTGTAGCACACGATCCTGAACATCAGAATAACATCCGGAAATACAGGTTAATAACGCAAGGAACTGGTTGTAATAACAGGAAACAGCTTAAGAAAATCTCATCACCTTGAACAACAAAATTGCTCTTATGATACTGCAAGTTCTTTGAGGTGGCTGCAACTGTCCGGAAGGACAAAGCCATCAATTTGATCAACCAAGAAGTCACCATCGACTTGATGCATCGAATAGAAATAAAAATCTTTTTCTACACAATTTAATGATGGTTTAGAGGATGCTAGACCTGGATACAAAACATCAAGGAGCAGATTTAAAAGCATGTTGCTACTTACTATTCACCAAGATTCCAAAAGTTTCCAGTTTCCACAGCAGACTCCCTTTTTCAAGAAGCAGTCGCTGTAGTCGCACGAGCAAGTTGCATAGCTTTTTGGTGTTCCACGTTTCAATTAGTATTGGAGGGAATTCAGAAGACAGCAAAATTTGAGACTTAATATACTCACATTTCAAGATTTTTGTTCGGTCTTCGCACATTTTCCCATCATTTTGCTCACATGCATTCCCCACCTCACCGAATCCGACTTGCACATCCGTACTGGCAACTTTCATCACAAGGATGGCATCGTATAGCCACCCTATTGGTCTTCGTCCATTCGGGAATTTTGAAAGATTCTTTGTAGTTTGCGGTCCAAGTTTTCAACTTCTCCTCTAGCAAAGGGAACAAAGATCAACATTAAATGCTGACTCACTTGGATGGCAGGGTAGGAAGTGGTGGAATACAAACAAGAACACAACCTCACCCCAAGATGATTCCAATGCTTGCCATCGAGCAGGGCAATGCTAGTGGAAGTTTTCGATAGAACGAGGAAAGAGTAGGAGTATTGAATAAGAAAGGTGTGATGCTGCTGTTTCGGAAACTCGGGTCTTAAGGAAAAATGTTCCTCGCACAATTTTGCCTATAGTATGATCACAGGCGCGATAATTTTTTTAAAATTATATCGGATTCACGTGATCGAGAGGGTGTGTGACGTAGCATGACTACGTGATGGCATTTGTTTACATGTGAAAAAATTTTATCCTTGTCATTCGTTCTACACTACTCTGAAGGCTTCTCCAAGTTTCTCATTTCAAACGATTACACCCCACATATTAATTTGTTGTTTTTGCTTTGCAAAAAAAACTGTAATCACCACAGTTAAAGAATCACTGATAACTTCAACCCAACTCGTCAAGAAGCAAAAACAGGAAATCACGCGAATGGAAGCAGGTAAGTCATTATTTGATTCGCAAGGGCGTTATTTTCTTCCTTTGCTGCTGGGCAATAACCCTCCATTCATTGGAGTGCAATAACCCTCCATTCGTTGGAGTGCAATAACCCTCCATTCGTTGGAGTGCAATAACTCTCCATTCGTTGGAGTGCAATAACCCTCCATTTGTTGGAGTGCAATAACCCTCCATTTGTTGGAGTGCAATAACCCTCCATTTGTTGGAGTGCAATAACCCTCCATTTGT